AAGGACAGAAAAGGTCCATTTTTGGATTGAGAAAATCCTGCTCACCTAAGTTTTGAAAAAACTTAGATTGCAATGTACAGCACCAGTATTCACTTTGGAAGGAATGTAAGATGCATTCGACCGAAGTCTTCGCAACAGTGCTAAGACTCTTGAACTGATTTGTTCAGATGAGAGAATTATGTACCTTCCAACCCGTTAATGTAGGGAGTGCCTGCGATGTTATTAAATTTGAGCAAACACTCACAGCATCATAGGTCGCGAAAAAACACCTAAAAGCTAGGTGAATGATCAAAACATTGAGGAATTTATATTGTTATGCCTTTCTCATACTGACCAGATGTTTCGACTTGATCTTTTAACGCAGAGGTAAATTTCCAACCTAAGAAGACTGCGTCTGAAAGAATCTTTGTTCTAGACTGATCAATTCAATTAAGAGCTACTAGGGAAGATCTGGCTGAGGAGAACAAGAGATCATTCAAAATTTCCATAATGAATGATCATCTTAACTTTTATTTTTTTTTTTTTTTTAATTCTTCCAAGTTTTTCAGTGTAGCGTATACTCAATTCCAATGTAGACCCATACATTTTAATAAGCTTATGAGGCGAAAACACACTCTAATGGAATAAATTTTCCAGATTGTAGATGATGAAATAAGACTATTGCGTAAATCGCTATAACGCATATCATCTTTCATAAGGTATTTCTAGGCAAAACTTGTAAAAGTCATTGATAAAATTAAGGTATTCACAACGCTTTTTGCTTTTTAATATGGCTCAGACAAGAAAGAGCCTTAACAGTTTAATTTTGTATTGGTACCATACTCAATAGCCGGAAAACCAATAATAAAATATCATCTAGATAACTGGATGATATGAAGCCTCCGAATCAATGAGATTCATGACCGGCCTCATGACTCGCGAAGCGAGAGAACTAGTCGCAATTCCAGATGGGGGTAGGAATTGGAAATAATACCACCCATGCCAAAACAACGGAAGTTTTCATGCTCCACATTTACCGGGGCAGGAAATATAGGACTTTGAAGACATTTCCATCCGTGAATGTGTTACAAAGTATTAGTTTTGGAAGGGTTTTCATGTCCTTCAATTGAAGTTATGAGCTCTCATAAATTTGTTCAACCTTTTAATGTGAAAAATTAATCATTGCTGATCATGTGGTTCACCAACAAAAAGTTACACTGAGACGAGGTGATCCTGATAGGATTCTGATAGTAATACAGAGGTTTTAACTACCTCTATGATCACATACCTGTTTATCCGCCCCTCAGGACTGTCCCTTTCAGTTCAGAGATTTGAAATTCTGGAGGAATTACCGATTGGTAAGGGCCAGAATTGAAGAGGCTTTTATGACTCTTCAGTCTCTCTAAAATAAAACTATTAGAACAGTTTAATTTCCATTGGGAAGGAAATGTTCAAGAATGGCTGCAGAGATTTTTGCCATTACATCTTGCTCTCTTGAAGTAAGATAACTCTGGAGACGCTGACGTCGATCGAGAATCATTGGGACTATTGAGGAAATGCCTCCGGTTGGACCTGTTGTCCAACCTGAGGCATCCAAGGTTTTTGAACCGTTTGTTTTAACTCTACGTCTCAAAACAAGCTCCTTTGAATCCAATGAATTTAGATTCTCCTGTAAAGGTGGATAAATCTCCAAACCTTGACACAATTTTGAGGATTTATTTTAATCTTCTCAAGCTTCCCGAAAAATGTGAAACCATACAAAAATTAAACTGGAACTGTAGCCTCAAGGGCAGTAAAAATTAATTATTTTTCTCGAACCACACAACTTCTGGAAGAGGACTAGATTGTCTAGTTTCTCTTCCTAGAGCAGACTTCGAAGAGTTGCCCCCAATGCTACGAGGGCAAAACCTGCGTCTTTTGAGATTGATTAAAAATTCTTTATCTCTATGGATCAATGGTTCGGTGGAGATAAAAGCAATCTCTGAATTCAGATTTGGTGGATATTTCCATAAATCTGTGTAATTTGTGCATCAACAAATTCAAGACCAGCCAGAAACTCCAACGAGCTTCCAGATCACTCTGAAAGGAGATCTCGGCATCATGAGGCTTCGATGACCCAGGAACTCCTATATTCCTGAATCGAGTTCAGGTGGAATATTATTTTGCAGGTTTGAGGCCGTGAATGATGCGTCAGGTGCAGACGCAACAATTGCATTTGTAATTGAAGGCTTAGAGCCTTATTTTAATGCGTCAGGCGCAGATGCACCTATCATAATAGTAGTAGAAGGCTTGGAGCCTTGGATCAATGCGTCAAGCGCAGATTTAACTATTGAAATAGTAGAACAAGGCTTGGAGCCTTGGATCAATGCGTCAAGCGCAGATTTAACTATTGAAATAGTAGCACAAGGCTTGGAACCTTGGGTCAATGTGTCAAGCGCAGATTCAACTATTGAAATAGTGGAACAAGGCTTGGAGCCTAAGGTGAATGCGTCAGGCGCAGATGTGTCTAGCACAACAGGATCTGAGCTGCTGCTCGCACTGTCCTGGATGTCAGGAATGAAGATCCATCTGACATATTTATAACAATTTCATTTTTAATTTCCTTGTTCTCGATTTTGTCTCTAGGACCAGGAGAACCAGGTAAAAAGAATAAACTCGGCCTAAAAAAGCCTAAAAAAGCCTTTGACGTCGATTGGTTTTGTCTCTAAGATCTGACCCGAGCGTCTAAAAAGGCTGAGAGACATGTAACATCGCTTACCTTTATTTCCAATCGATTATTTATCCAGGGAAAAGTCGGTAAGACAATGCATGTAATATTTGCAATTTCACTATAGATGTCTAGATATTCCACACAATTTATGTGTTTCCTCTTCTTACAATCATCCATGACTTTGGAAAAACTGTGTAAAAACGGAGAAAAATAGATTATTACAATAAAACAAACTGGAAACTCTGAAAAGCGTGCGTTCCACACGCGCACACACGAAAACAATGATAAGATGGCGAGCCCTCAACGCCGAGGTGCCACAGCCAACTTTTTCTATGGTCTCTGAAGGCGTGTGGCTCCATCTAGCCGCAGGCGGACTACTACAAGTTATTAAAATCTCGAAGACGAGGCTCGAATATAATATTCCAAGGATCCTCAGATCGGCTGGTACATGTACTATTTCAAGCACCATGAACGTAAATATTGTGTCGATGCTACAACGGAGAGCGGAAAATTGGGAAGACTTATCAATCATTCTTGTAAAGAGAATTTAAAAGCTCGAGTGATTAATAGTCATTCCATCCCACATTTAGTATTATTTGCTACAAGAGAAATCGCGGCTGGACAGGAACTCACTTTTGACTATGGTGAACGTCGTAAAGGAGTCATTGACAATCACCCTTGGCTTAGAGGTAATAATAACTTTACATACTGTTTATCCACTAAAAATTATTGGTCTGATTATGATTTTTGGAGTTTTTCTTATTTTTGTCAATTTGTTCCTCAGATATAGTAATCCTCAATAATCTGCTCCCAATTAAGGATATCCAAGTACTTTGGCTATTTTTTCTCCAGTGAAATACGTTTCTACTTTTTTGAGTTTCACGATATTTTACAATGAGTTTATTGTTTAAAATTTCCAGCTCTGAATTCGAATCTCGATATTGAACTGTTAGAAAACATTTTAAAGATCTGAAAAAAATTACAAAGTTTACTTTTGCAGGAAGATTGATGAAATAATTAACAAATTGCAATTTTTGAATATTACGAGCGTTTTCTATAAATAATTGATAAACAATCAATTTTCCATCATAACAATCATTTGTGCGAAATCGTAGTAAATTTATTGATATTCAGAATTTTGCCAGAAATCAATTGCAGGCATAAAAAAATAAGATTTCCAAAGGTTTAAACAATTTCAATTATTTATTCATAAACAACGAATGTTTAGAAAAATGATAATTCGGTGCAAAATATAATTTTAAGGATGCTGAATATTCATGATTTTCTTCAAAGTTTTGTCCCACAATTTAATTGTGTGAGAAAAATCTATAGCGTCGTCTGTACCAAACTGTAAACTTACTTATAGGCCTGAAAATCATTGAAAATTAATTTTCCACAAAAATGAAATCAAAGAAGTACGTCAATAGATTCTTTTATCACTTCATGTTTATCAAACGCCGTTTACGGAGATTGTTGTGACGAAAAATTATGGTCATCACTCGGCGGAAAATAACTTTTCTGACTCGTATGATTGCATTTCTCGGCTTCGCCTGGGTCTGCAACCCTCACATTCGTCAGAAATTTTTTTTCGGCCTGGTGACGAAAATAGATATTTGCTTTGTCAAAAAACTTGTAGATCTTTCACCAGAAAACAAGTTATGAGTTTTCGATCATTTAGCCCACTTGTATCGTATAGGTAATGTCGTATTCTCTAGGGAAACTTCATGTCGTTAAAACAATAGTAGAGGCAACCCATCATCAACTAGGGACTTTCCGTTTCTGATGAATCTGATGAAAACTACTAGTTCAGTTTCTGTAACTTCATTCTGGTCAGTATTCCAGTTGCCATTTTGTGAATGTGGCAATGTGATCGATATTTTACATTGAAAAAAAAGTTCCATCAATATCGTATTAGTTCACAGACCGATGGTAATTTCCGTATGTCTGAAAATCAGAAATAAGTCATGAACGATGTATTCACTTTTACTATTAAGATTTAACGAAACGCGCACATACACATATATTGTACGTCTCACTGAGAGTCTTCCACTGAAGAAGAAAAACCGGAATATTTCTATTGTGCATAATGGTCGTTCTCGACTGGCTTCCCTCGTTATTCATCACAGTAAGTGAATAAAAAAATGAATAATTCCGATTCGAAAATATAACCTCATCGAATTGTATAAATTATATACCATGGTCAGTTCGATGACCGTTTAGACCCATATCTTAAAAAATGCTCTTAACATGATTTTTAATTATAGCCCTTATAATAGGTGAATTTTAAGTTGAGTCCACACATAGTTTAGCTTTGTAATTTATTATTTCCTCACATGATTATCTCTTCAACATTTTTATGAACATTTTTTTTCGATGAATTTGCAGATTGTCGGAGGCGTTTGAAGGACATGGCTCACAATTTGAATCAATCACAGCCACGAGGTTCGATGGGTAAGAGATTTCGTACAATGAGCGTACATTTAGTAAGCGAATGGAAACTTTACATTGACTGTATATTTCGAAACAAAATCGGATAGATTGAAAGAAAATTGCATGCAGCGATCAGTAATTACCGTTCTAGCCAGTGTTTATTTCCATTTATTTTTATATATCTTGAGAACTCACTAATGGGATCATATAACAATGACCGATACCAATCGTCGTTAATTATAGCCTATAATGCTCAATTGTCACAGATCATTTCATCTTTCTACGTCGCAGGCAATATTGAAATTCGACGAAAAATCATTCCATGGAAAGTATTCATTTGTTAATAAATATATTTTTCGTGTCGTGGGACCTGAAAAACCTCATTTTTGGGGTTTCAGGTACCGCGACACGGAGAATATCGTTCACGCCTCGCCATGGAAAATGTATCACCGTCTCCCACGTGCTTACCATCCTCGCCTTCGGTTCGGAAGGCATTCTTGCACGTGGGGGATTTGATTTGATGAAATGTACTATTTCGTGTCCAATAAAAGGAGAGATATCGGAAACTCACCCGTAACGAAAACATTTATATTCATGAGGTTACCTGCTTGTAATGATTTTTCTCTAGAACGTTTATCACCACATTTATATTTTTAATTTATCTCCATTTCTAAATATAATTACGAATATATAAAAGACAGAAAGTTCGAGAAGCTGCTCAGTGCCAAAAGAACCAATACCAATCGAAACAGAAGTAAATCATCAATGCGGATGCGAGACCAAAAATCATCAAACCCAAAAATCACCATGAAAGCAATTAAATATCTAAAAATGTCCAGAAATTCATACATAGTAAAAATCCATTAACAAATTTATACTCACTTAGATGTAAATTTTGAAGATAATATTGAAACTGAATTCAATTTTGTTCAGAAGTGAGATCACAAAATAACAAAATATTGGAAAAATAAATGTCATAAATAAATTTTTTAGAAACACAAAATCCATGATAATATTCCTTTAATCATTTCTAGCCCAATAAATGATGAAAAATAATTGATAGTTCACAGCAAAATTCTTTTATCAAATGATTCGTCACAGATAAACCGCATGGCTTTGGTATTATATTATTCGTTATCTTTTGTAAATTGTCATAAAAATACCGAAATTAATAATTAATAGAAAATTTTATTCCCTATGATCGATCAGTGATGACACGAGAAAAATATTTAAAAGTGTGCACAAGTACTTATCTGATGAATGATTAATATAAATGAGTTGCTCAGGCTCTGAAAAATTATTGGTACCCAAATAACGAAACAAAAAAAAATACGAAAAATAATCCGTACGTGTGTACTGCACGACGGTTCCGAGGCGAGAGAGCGAACAGGCTCTTACAGCGTCGTCCCCCGACCTACAGTCACAAATAATAATATTTGTGTGATTGAATACTCGATCATGAATTTTGGGACTACTTTCACCTGTATGGAAAAGTAGATTCCTATATTTTGAATTGTGGGAAATTCAACTACACTTAAAATTCCTACAATATCCCCCATTTTGTGCCAATAAAGTTTTCACTTATTTGCACAAAATACTCAGGCGGTAAATGATCCTTCAATTCATTTCCCACTCCTACCTTTTGTCGTTATTTTGAATATGTATATTTTTTCTTCTCTTTCATTATAATAGTGTCAGAAAAGCCTTTATAATTGATTTCAATATTTAAAAATATATTTTTCTCGTCTGTATATTTCTCTCGTTTCAATTTCCTATCATTAAAGTTTTTAAATTTTTCAAAACAGATGATTTGGAATTAATTATTTTTCTATTAGCATTTGACATAATAATAATAAAAATTATTGAATTTATACATAATAATACTGGTTATTTTATCACAAAGTGATCACGTCATAGTAATGGGTAAATCTATTTGAAAATTAATAATCTTACATAATTTATAGGGAGTTCACACATCATCTAGAAGAATATTTATTTTTCTTCATTTCATCAAATCCGGTTTCCAGGAAATCAACTGAGAGATTCACGTGACCCGACACTCAGTCTCTGGATTGGTAATACTTTCTTACACTCAGACGCTTGTAGGTGCCTTTGATTTTATTTACATCATCATTATCCGACAGAACGAAGGCGTTTGGTCCTTTCATTTGAGCAATTTTAAATCGACCTTCAAAAATATGGAAAAACTTGTGTGTAACTCTGTCACTCTGACTTGAGATATATGGTACCTTCAAGAGCACTTGATCACCAATTTTATAATGAATTTGAGATTTCCTTCGTTGTTGTTTTCCTCGTTGCGAAAAATGTTTAAGCAAATTTTCCCTGGCTAATTTTATTTGTAATTTATGTGGAACTGGTGTTGTTGGGGGAGATTTTATTATTTGTTTAATTTTATTGATGGATTCCTTTCCATAATGTAATTCGAAGGGGACAAATCCTGTACTGCTGTGAGTTGTCAGATTTAATAATTCTTCTATTGTCTTAATGTGTTTTCTTCATTTAGTGTGTTGGTCAGCACAATAAACTCTAAACAATTTTCCTAACTCTCTCATGATCCGTTCCGTGGGATTAGATTGGGGATGCCGGATCGAAGAGAAAATTACACGAATGTCCATTTTTTCTAATGTATTTTTCCACACGGGGGAAGTGAACTGGGTTCCATTGTCAGAAAGAATTCGTTTGGGTTTCCCCACGTCCTCAAATTAATTTTCGCATAACTTTTTCAACACAATACGTGTTGTGGCTCTTTTAATGGGATACAGACGTACCAATTTCGAAAATCCGTCAACGATAACCAATATATATTGAACGCCCCCGACTGATTGTGGAAGAGGTCCATAAAAGTCAATGGTCGCTAGATACCCTGGCTCACTAGCCTCCACATGTTTCCATTCCCCTACAGAAGACTGTGATGTATACTTTACTCTTTGACAGAGATCGCATTCTCTAATGAATTTTTTCACATCTTTCGCCATATTTCTCTAGTAATAAAATTTTCGCAAGTGACAGTTCGTTTTAAACACCCCACACTGTCCTAGTCTTTCATGCTCAGTTTTAATTAAAAGAGTCTGAAGTGCTTCAGGTACCATAAAACACCAAGTATTAGAATTTGATTTTCTGTGAAACCAAATTCCCTCATACTGGTTAAATTCTTGAGTTTTATTCTTTCTGTTCCCTCCCTGAATCATTAAATGAATTTTTTCATCCTCATTTAGTAATTGTTCAATTTTTTTCAATTCTCGAAAGATATTTGGTTCCAATTCAACTTTGCAAATCATAATCAACGCATCATGAGCATAATAGATGGACGTCTCCTCATCATGCCATGATAACGTTGATATGATGAATTGCTGTTGACTTTGCTTCACAAATTTACCTTGAGGGTTTCTAGAAAAAAAATCCGCAATAATATTATCCTTTCCACAACAATGAGATACAGACAAATCATACTCTTGGAGAAGCAAACTCCATCGAC